CATTAGCACCTCTAGTAATATATTTACTGAGAAATATGGTGACTTGTTAAAAACTTATTTTACCCGCTGTATTCTCTCTCTTGATGCAATCATATTTTTGGAATTTGCTATGTCCTGGATGACTGACAGTCTACACCAGCACATCCTGTCCAGTCAGTGTTCTTGAAATTTAAGCCAACCTAACCCTTTTTTTGTGAATGTCTCTGTTTGGTTTAAACATACCAGAGGAGGATTTGACTAAAACCCAGAATAGTYAGTAAAAAGGGTCCTTGAATCAGGACCAATCAACTGAGTTTTCTTCTCACCTTTGCATTCACATACAGTGAAGTTACAAGCTCTTGTTCTTTGAGTATTTGTGATACACCTGTAATTTGATTCTGCTCGAAGTGTGTGCAAAGGTGAGACCCAGCCTGTTGTTTTGACGGAGGTCTGGTGTGACCAATGGGAGGGCGGGAGTGGGGGGGAACTGTGACCGAGGAGGAGGGACTTCCTCTGGGCTTTCAGCTTGATGGCATCGGGGCTGCTGCTCGGCTGACACGTAACTAGAATTAAAGGTACTTCGGGGGGCCTCGTCCTGGACTTTGGAATTTTTAAAGAACATTTTTTTAAAAACAAGTTTCATCTGATTTGCACTGGAAACACTCAGGTCTGTAAGAGGAGGGAAGGAGGCGAATGAGAACCGTCAGTATTGTTTTTCAAAACAAGACCTGAAGTCAAACAACTTAAAAAAAAAAGGTACAAGCGGCTACTTTGAAGTCGCAGCGGAGACTGACTGAGGCTACGATAAAAATAATAATAATAATAATTTAAAAATATGCACACGAAAGAGGACATTCGCCCGTAGCTTTAGCTTTGGAAATGCTCAGAGAGTGAGGGGAGGAGTGTAAAGAAAAAAAGTAGAGTCAGGAAGTTTCCAGCGGCGGAGACGGGGCTTTCTCGCTCCGACACCGCGGAGGGCTGCGGCTCCAACATGGGAAACGGGGTGTGCTCCCGCAGGCAGCGGAGGATCTTCCAGGTCCTGCTGCTGGTCACCGTGGTCTGYGGGATGATGTACGGGGGGATGGTGTCCTATGAGACCCACAAACAGCTGAAGAGGACCGAGGCGATGGCACTGAAGTATCAGCAGCACCAGGAGTCCCTCTCGGCTCAGCTCCAAGGTAAATAGTGACGGAGAAGTGATTGAATGTTGGCAGGAGGCACCAGACTCCCCTAACTAAACCAGACATTTATAGTTGATTTGTCTCCCATAGCAAGTACACAAACTGGAAACTAAAGTTTAGAACTCAGTTCGACTTAATACTAACTACACATCAATTCCGCATACAAATAAATACTCAGAAAAATGTTTTAAATAATCTCCCATAAAGTTTGACYAAAACACCCTGCAAGTTCTCAGCAAGAAAATGTTCTCTTCATTACTGTGTGTAATTGAATGAACCTATGTACATACAATTAAATACATGTTCTTACACTACATTTGGTTGTTAGAAATAGCATTTTTCTGTTGTAATGTGGTAGATCTGAGGTACTCACAGAGTTGAGTCATTGATCGCCTCAGCTGCCAGCTACAGCTGAAAGCCATTAAAAGCATTGTGTTTTATTGCTTTTGGAGCATATCAAATGTATGAAGAAACACTCAAAGTGTGCTSTCTGAAAATGACTCCTCAGTTGGACCAAACAGGAACGGGCCCTGTGTTTGACCTCATCTAATCTTTGGATTCTCAGGTTAATCACCACAAAGCTCCTTTGGTTACACCGAGTTCTGTTTCTTCAATACGGCACAAGCTAAATCAGACCACACACACTTATTTCAGGAGTTGTGTTTATGGTTTGTAGAGTCACACAGTCGTGGTTGTTCTAACGGTGCATCTAACACACCCGAGGTCAGCGTGAACATCTGCTGATGCCGCCACACAGCTGGAAAAAAACGAAGCAGGAAAAAGGAAACACTGTCACTACTTTTGTTTTCAGGCGTTCTTACAAACAATCCTGACTTTTCCTGACTACTCAGCCTTACACATGAGGGACAACATGTACAATGAAACATTTTAGTGGGAATGATGCCTTTTAAAATAGAAGTCTTGTTATGTTATGTCATGTTGTTGAAAGRTACTTATAATTTTTTTCCGTTTATGCTTTTTTTTTCTTCTTTTGGTCAGGCCTAAATGTTTCAAAACATCAAATAAATATAAACCAACCAACCTGGCCTTGTGTGAAATAGTAATTACCTCACTCTAGGGTTGGACTAATCGTATTGTGTGCAATTAATCGTCAGAAAAACGTTAATCGATTAATTTTTGGCAGTTGGCAATTAATACGATTAATGCCACCTGGCAGACTAACCACTTGGTGTTCCTCTCTGATTCAAATATGACCAACATAAAAAATGTGTAATTTATTTATCTATCAACACAATTTAAAGTTTGATGTATAGCCTGAAGTCTGTAATTTTGACACAATTTGGAACCGATTTTTTACGAAGAGCCAATTTTCTCCCTATAAAATGGTCATGTGACTAGGATATAAGGGTGTCCAGGGACTCTGGGGGATTAATCGTCAAATTAATCGTTATCGGCTAAATACCACAATTAATCRTGATTAACTTTTTTGCCAATATTGCCCAACCCCTACCTCCCTCCCTTGTTAAATCATGACTTAACTGGGATTAATATAATTGTTTTGAGTTTAWTTTCAGTAACCACACCCAGGCCTGATTCCCGTTAGACTYGTAGAATCAAGAAATCACTAAAACACAGCAATAATTCAAAAATGGAAACAACACGGAACAGTAAACATTCCCAGGAATGACCAGCTGAACAGAATTACTGCAAAATCCCACCGACGATTCATCTAGAAGGTCCCAAAAGAACCCATCTAAAGCTTGCTTCAGTTAGGGTCAGATTTCATGACTCAACCATAAGAAACATCATCCAAAGCTAGCTTAGTTCGGATAGTTTTTGTCCCTTAAGAAATTAAATCATTAAAAAAACGGAATTGATCAAAAATATTGATGCCATCGAGACCAGTGTCTGACAGTTTACATCTTTGAACTCTACTTGTCGTTACAGAATAAAAGTTCAGTTGTTTTTGTCTTATTTTATTTTAACTTTTTAAATTTGCCATGTCCTGGGTGACTGAGAATCAACACCAAAATAGGATACTAATATTTSTGTCAGGTTATATTGATGCTAGTGTGATGTATACTTAATACTTAGTTAAGCATACTTCAATAGGTGAGATCAAATATAAACAATGGACAAAAACAGATAGRAATTTAGTTACCTTCAGAATTGATTCACACATGCTAACATGTTTAGCATTCATATTACTTCCATTAACAGCGTGCCGTGTACTACGTCACATTTTCTTTCTGCTCATGCTGCTTATTTTAGGGTCATAGTGTTCACACTAGTGTGTGTTAACGGCCACATTTAAAYTATAACGTCATTGGCCTTGCAAAAATAGCAGGAAATACAGAAGAAATCTGTAAGAAGGCAAATATTTTTTCATAACMCAACACACAGTGGGAAACAGATTATCTAACTAGAATTGGCTGCACTTTTTGTCATAATTTTGCACATTATTACCTGAATTTCTCCCTTTAAGCAAACAAATTCAAACTTGGTTACAAGGAGAAATGCCTTTTTTTTTTGTGGAAAAAGTCAAAGAACAGGTCATGGTGGTAATTTACTCCATGAATCTGTTAACATCTCATCAGATTTGACTTGAATTTTGTTGACATAAATGGTTTGCTCTTAAAAATTAGTTTAGTTTTTTGCATCATGGCACACATAATTTTGGCTTTGGGATGGCTTGATGTTTTTGATGAAAGCTGTTTTTGGTTTAGTGTTCAGAAGCAAAGCAGAGTGATTAAAGGGTCTTCTTTGCAACATTAAAGCTGAGTCTCTCGGACAAAGATTTGTTGTGCTTGATAACAGAGTTAACTTGACATCCAAGCACATTTTATTCAATTACAGATCCACTTTAGCTTTGRAAAATGCAAGCAAAACTGAACACTGTGGTCTAGAAATGACTTCAACCCCATTTATTGAAAARTAGATTGTAATGCTTTTCATAACTACTTTAAAAGCCAACAATTTGTTTCCGCATTTTAAAAGTGTCCTAGTTCCAACATTTAATGCAGGGTGAGTCAAAAGTTTAGGCCATGTCCAGAACATGGCTGCCATCTTGAAAGACACCATATTGGATCAAGGGCAATTTTTTCCAACGATAGACTCACCCATTACTTGCTGGGGTATTTATATACACCATTTTCCCTTTTGTTTCTGAAATAAAATGGTGTCCTGTATCTTTTGACTTTCCATAACACCCAGTACATTGTTTTTATGCAATTATTCAATTTATTATAATTTTGCAGTTCATTACATTTTATTTTAATATAGTTGTTGATGTCAAAACGTTTTTGTAACACCAGCATTTCACAACTTTAATTTCTTAGAGAGTAATAGAATATTAGTGTACAGTCATAATGCAGTACAGGAGACATTAGGTTGTTTATAAAGTACATTATTTAAGAAAATATGATGAATTGTGCGTTTTGGTTGGAACACATCAGCTTAGACAAATTAGTTTAAAGATTTGTTGGTCTCAAGGTTTTTAGTTTTTCTTAATGAAACGTCTAACCAATTAAATTATCACCTTCTGTCATGAAAAGCAGGTGATAATGTAATGTTTGTTCAGTTTTCTTTCTGTGTTAGTAAAATATCTGATGAATCGCTTAATAGAGTTGTTCACGAGAGAGACACTCTTGGAAAGTTATCTTTTAATGTTCATCTCCGATTGATTATCAATCGGAGTCAACCTGATTTAAGATTGTCATTACAGCAAACGCAAAAATGGCTGCCACTAAGTTAATTTTACAGACGTCGAGCTTAAATTTGGTGTGGCAGCAGCTGACAGTCATCAGGATCACCAAAATTTGAGGGCTCAAAGATCATGCTAGATAATTTATTTAGTTTAAACCAGTTTAAATCTTTGGCATGCAAGTTAGTGGGTGATACACATTTCTTCAAGGAATGCTAGTTCAGTTTATTTTTTTAGTTTAGTTTAGTCATTTCTTTAAAAACAACAACATAAATTCAACAACAAACAAAAATACRTATCAAATTAAAGGGGCAATATCATGTAAAATCAACTTTTTTGAGTTTTATATCACGTTATAATGTTATCCTCTCATAAAAAAAAAACAAGCCCAAAGCCTTGCTTTGACTCGTTCATGCATGTTTGAGAAATCCTGCAGTGTTTTTAGGCAGCCATGTTGAGGAGCAAAACGACAGGTGGGGACCAGAAATGCCTCTGGGTTGTGTCCTTTTGGGACAAGTTCCTCCTCTGGGATGTGTCTTTAAGCCGAACTTCCTCATGGCAGAGCTCCGCCCTCCGCGCCACAACTTCGGCAGGCTACATGCTGAAATGGGCGTGACAGAAGTGGTTTCTTAAAGAGACAGAGACCTACTTCAAGGCATTTAGAAACTGTCAAGACGAGAAGTAAATTGTTTTGGGGATTTTTACAAATATATTGCTCTTTCATAAGCTGAAAATGTGACATAGTTACTTTATTAGTATAAAATTGAAATATAGGCTTGGAAAGCATCGCCCCTTTAAATTAAATTAGTGATGCAGATGTTTTCTCACGCATAACACCATATTAAATACAGTATTTGGTTACTGTTTCCCTATACCACCTTTGCAGAAGTTTAAACATCCATGTGTAGAAGTAGCCGCCTTGATTTACTGTGTTGGTGTTAACACTCTGCTGTGCTAACAGGATGTGGAGGCTTGTGTCATGCCATTAAGCCCAGAGTTCAAAATTACTAGCTGGGTGGAGAGTCTTTTCCTCACTTTTAGAACAAGATTTAATGGCTTATGAGGAAGTCAGAAAATGTGTTTGGGCTTCAGCACTAAACTCCGGACCCGATCATCTAACGCAGCCTTTAATCCACCCAACCTGCAATCATCTCCCGATCGCCCACTGCTTTGTSGAGTACACGGTTCATGGATCTGCCCTTAAGCTGCAACCTGTTGTGTGTGTGTAAGAGTATATCTGCTCATGAATGGACGTCGTTGTGTTCTGTTGCCAGGATTAAATGACAGACTTCGCTGTATGTAAAGCAGTGGTACAATWTCCTACATCTGCAGA